GGGGGAGGGGGCGGGGGGCGGGGATGGGGGAGGGGCGGCAGCTTGTCCTGAAAACGCCGTTTCCATCCTCGATTTGGGGAGGGGGCACCCCCCAAAAAAAAAAAAAAAAAAAAAAAAAAAAAAAAAAAAAAATCACCCACCCCCCCTTTTTAAATCCTGACACCCCCTGGGGCGGGGTTTGGGGTGAAAGCGGCTGGTTTTGGCAAAAATGAGGGAAAATCCAAAGGAATCGGCCCAAAATGGGGAGGGGGTGGGGTCCCACTTCTCCTCTGTGAGCGACAGCTGGGTTTTGGGGAGAACCCCAAATTTTGGGGTGGTTTTGGGGCTTGTGGAGCCGCGCTCGGCCACGAGGGAGCGGATGGGAGCAAATTGTCCAAAATCCTGGGAATTTTCCCCAAAATGAGGCATTTGTGGGTCTCCATCCTGTCCCCGACCCATTTTTGGGGGAAAATTATGGAGAATCTGAGCCTTGGCTGTTTCAGGGGGTGGGATTGGTATGAAATTGCTCCAAATCCCAAAAAATCACCCCAAAAATTGGGTCTGGGACTCCATAAAAGTTTCCCGGGGAAAACGAGCCCACCCTGGGCTGGATTTTGGGGTGAAACCGGCTGGTTTGGGGACCAGGGAGCTGCAGCTACGCCCTGGATGGTGTGCGGGGGGGGGGAATTGTCCAAAATTTCTAAAATTCATCCCAAAATGGGGGAGTGGGAGCTCACATCAACCCCTTGGGGAAAATCGGCAACTTCTGAGCCCGGCCTGACTTTTTGGGTGGAAATCATTTGGTTTTAGCACTGGGGAGCTGCAGGTGTTGGGGTTATCCAATCACCCAAAATCCCAAAAATTCCCTAATTCACACCAAAACGTGTGGGGAGACCCCACATTGTCCCAGTCGAGAAAATCACATCCTCAAAAAAGTTTTTTGGGAAAATCAGCTATTTTTGGCATGGGGGAGGTGATGCTCGGCCACAAGACGGCAGACAGGTGAAAATTGCTCTAAATCCCTCAAATTCATCCCAAAACAGCGGGAGCTGAACCCTCTTGAGAAAAAATATCACCATCCTGACCCCAGATAAGGATTTTTTTGGGGGGAAAACCAGCTCGTTTTGGCACGAGGGAGCCGCAGCTCAGCCTCAAGATGGCAGACGGGCGAAAATTGCCCAAAACCGCTAAAACTCACCCCAAAAACGGGGTGGCAGATGGGTTGAGGCGCCACCTCACCCCCACCGAGTACCACCCACCCCCTCGGGAAGGATTTTTGTTGGGATGGGAGGAAGAGGAGGGTGGGGGAGGGGGGTAGAACCAGCTCTCGTTTATTTTGCCACGAGGTGGGGGCGGCAGCCGAAGCTCGGCCTGCAGAGATGGCGGATGGGTGAAAATTTTGCCCAAAATCCCCCGGATCGGCCCCAAAAGGTTGGGAGTGGGGCCACGGCGAAGCCAAGGAGTAACAATAGAGTGATAACTACCAGGTAATGCAGTTTGTTTACCATAGCGTGTCCGATCCCTGCGTGCTGGCGGCGAGAGAAGGACAAAACACAAACGTGACGTTTGGGGGGCGCTTGGGGTGGGGGGGGCGCGGGGGTTTTTTTTAGGTTGTGGTGTTC